ATATATGTGTGTGCACATGCACACTAATCTTGGTGGTGGTCTGTGCAACCAGAAACTCCACCCATTGTATAACTTGTGGAAGAATTCACAAGAGTAAGGATCCAGTCCGTGGGTTACTATATCTACATATTCCTCTTAATCATTCCATGTATAATAGGGCCACACTACATAATTCTCTTTTATCTCTCCATGTACACAAGGACCTCAATACATATACTACTCCTTCACTGAGGTCATTGGGAATTCGTATTTCCCATCTTCTATATACGAACTTTTCTCCTTCGTTCATTGATGGATTATCTTCTATATATGAACTTTTTCTACTACATTCATTGATGGGATTATCTTTGCTTCCAGGAAACAATTTTAAATCTTTCATGTCATCTCCCTTGATGTCCCTTGAACAGTATAATAATGGTCTTCCTTTCACATGCTTCTTTTCTTAATATTGCCCAAACAAGATTGGAAAGGGAAGTACTCAATAAAGCTTGGCAAAGAACTTCTTGAATTTATATTTGAACTAATTTATAAACAGGTTTGGAATGTTTATACCTGCTATGATTCTATTGTTAAACCTTCCACATGATTGCTTGACAAAACCCCATTCAACAGATTGGACGAACAGATGACCCTGGTCTTTGATGTTGGCTTTAGATAGGAAGCATCTATTGCACCCATATTGACAGCATTTATATATCGACACCATTTATATACTTTTACCAGCTTATTTTGGAAAGCTGCCCATGCAGACCATGAGGCTCTACGATGAATTGGTTTCCCATACTATCTCTATTGTTTTCTTTTTTATCACCATTCCCTTTGACTTAGTTCGTGGGTACATCTTCCCCACTCTGTCAATAGGATGAATCTACTAGGAATTATGGATACATATAAATACATAATTATAATTATGAATACATATAAATACATAATTATAATAATCGTCTTAACAAATGGATAGAGATAATAATTTTCATTTTTATTTGGGGAAACCCTCCAAAATGCTTGAAGCTGCCACACAATTTTAATTACTTGCGTTCTTTTTCTTCAACCCAATGCTTTAAGATGCGTCAAGAATGATTATCAAAGGTGTCAAGAGACTTGTTACACCATAGTTAACGGGATCTGCCAACTTGGTGGAGATCCTAGAATCCCACGCTCCCAAAGCAGCACCTTGGATGGATCTCGTTCCCATATGGCGGGAACATGATCCCAATCCCTTAGGGATCACTCGATAAATTGCACTCATGTTAGACTGATATGAGACAAGTCTTACATGCATATCCATTAAAAAGATGAAGTAATTATGTTGCAAAATCATGTTTTATATACTTGTTAAAGAGAAAAGAGATGTTTTTACCAAATGGCATTCAGAACTTTACAGTTTAGCATGCAATCTCAAAAAATTGGGATCCAACCCTGCAACATATTGGGATCGAGATACCTAAAATTCAGGGTGTATGGACCAGTGTTTAAAAGATCGGCCGACTAACTCGGGGATCGGCCGACTCGTGTTTAAAAATCGGCCGACCAACTCAGGATCAGTCACTGACCGATCCCGATCTGGCTCGATTCCAACGGTCATGCATGCAAAAAAAAAAAAATTCAGTGCATTAATCGGCCAGCTAATCGGACTAATCGGCGATTTGTTCTAAAAATCGGCTGATAAGTGCACAGTCACAGTGCAGAGTCTGCAAAGCTGTCCTTATAACATTTTTTATATATTTCTCCTTTTTTTTCTCTTTTCCCTATTCTTCTATGGACATGGTTTCTATGCGGCCAGCCCGCATATTGTAGAAATGTGGGCTTGGCAATAAATAGATTTTTTAAATATAATTTGATGCTAATTTTTAGAGAATATATAATCTTTAACGTGGATAATAATTATATTAAAAAAACATTTGGACCATTAGTTACCCTTGTTTTTAGATGAACTATCTATTTGCATCCATCTTTAAGATGGATGCTTTATACCTCAGGACCGTATATTGTAGAAATGCGGTACAACACGCATGAAACAATTTTCCTTCTTCTATTTCTTTACATAAAACTTTATATATTATTAAAAAAATTTATTTGCTAACTGCAGGATTTGCCGCCTTGGGCAAGTAGACTCAGACTCATCCAAGTTGGTCAGGCCCGATAGGGTGCCAAGCCCGTAGGTCCCTCAACTCGGAGGGATATAAAATTTATTTGTTGTTCATCTGATTTGATCTTCAATCTAATACCTACACCACCAACTGGGCACATAGACATACGACACAGAGTGAGATGGAAATTTATCAAAATTGTCACAAAGAGACGAACAATTTTATATTTTACCTACATTTTTAATTGAATTCCAAAATACCCAAAAAACAAACATGTTTATGTTTATGTTTATGTTTATGTTTATGTTTATGTTTATGTTTATGTTTATGTTTATGTTTATGTTTATATTTATTTTATTACTGTAAGTTATATGATATAGTATACATTGATTACATATTATATATAATATATAGTATTAATATATATTTACTATATATTGATCACTAAAAAAGTATTGCTTTAGGGGCCTAATCATTTTTCCTGAAACCCACTTATGCTTCTAATATTTATTTTTTTGCTTTTTTTATGTGAATTTAAAGAAACAATACATGTAAATTTTAAACTTTTTTGCAAATTTTTTGGGATTTTTTGAGGTTTTTGGGATTTTTTTTACCAATATTGCATTTTTCAGAAAAATTGGGGCACTAATCGGCCGATCTAGTCGGAATCGGTTGGACTAATCGGATCAAGTCAGGACCGACTAGTCGGCCCGATCCGTTGTTTTGAACACTGGTATGGACAATAATCCCGATCATAGGGAGTTTCTAGCCTATCATGATCCCACGCTCTAAATAGCGCTCCCTCTCTCAATCCCCACAACCATGTGTTCAACACTTAAATGCAATGCATAAATCTAGGACCACGAGGCGCTAAACAGGTAGCCTAACTAGGTGCATAGTGACAATAAAGGAACATGCCTCACATGGCAGTTACTTCTTCTTGAGCAAAAGTAAAGGGAAACATAATGGACATAACATAATTTCCAAAAAAATTGAAAATTCATAATAAAAAAATAAGATTTAGTCATAAACTATGTTTTAGCCATAAAACTTTGAACTGATAATTATAGATTATTCAAAAAATTAAAACTAAATAAAGCTGGTTTCCTTTTTTGGAGTCAACACTCAACACAACAAAAATATTTTCAATTATTTAGAAATTGTAAGAAAAAAAATAAAGGCAGTTATAGACATCATCTTTGAGGGCCTTACTAAAATTTGTTCCAGCCCCAATTTAGCACACATTTTCACTTGGATCCAACAAACAAGACCGTGCAAAAAAATAAAAAATAAAAAAGAACTTGAAACCCCTACAAAAAGGTTCTTTTCCGAGAGAGACAATGCAATGAATGTGGACCATCCATTTAGGTGTTCTAAACTCGTTTTAGATTAAGGCCTTGGGATTTTATTGTACAATGCCACCCAATCACCACCCGAAGAAATTAATTAATAACTAAAAGTGAGTTCTCCATGACCTTGATCTAATCATCCCAAATGTGGATGGTCTATGTTTTTTTTTTTAAACTGTCAACTGTTCTATGTATAAGAAGGGGGATACAAGAGAGCATAGAAGCCAACCACAAGCCGGGGCTCTAGCAAAAATACGCTTACCAAGAAATGGTAGCCCTATACAAACGTGGACGGTCTATGTCCATCTTAGAGGATATCTTCTTTAGGCAATTCTAGGAAATGTACACTGAAATTTTTGGGGGCGCTTGGACGCTAGGATAAGTAACCTTATCCCCAAATTTTGGGGTCCAAAGGATCCCCCTAGTTATGATTCTGAGAAAGGGTGGACATTGTTGAGGCCCACCCTCATATGTGTATGAGAGAGAGCTAGGTTGGACACAGGAGCAGTCCATCCACGTGCATGAGTGCGTGTGATTTTGATCTTAACCTCTCAAGTGATAGTTAAGGCCTCAGACAAGGTCTAATCAAACTTATCAAAAATTCTCATGAGAATCACAATCAAGACATTGACTGATTTCCTTTTCCATTAGTTCACCATCCCAATTTCTCCACCAGTCCAAGCTATGAAACATGGAATGTGTTTGTTTGAAAAAACAATGGCATTTGGGACTCTGGTATTACCTTAATCTCCTGCAACATTTACTTTTTTAAGGAGATGCTTACATTTCCAAGCCTGCAAAACTTCGTTGGGCATGTCATTAGCTCAACAATGCTCATAAAGAGAATCTAGCATTAGTGAAATTTACTCTTCTAAAAGAGTACAGACTTTGTAACCTATAGGAACTATATTGTCACAATGCCCCATGCACATCCACATCCTTGTAGTGAAATTCACTAGCTATGTCTAATCTTATACCCCCCTCTCTCTCTGTCTCTCTCTCTTTCTGCATGGGTGTCTGTGCTCATGGGTATGAGATCAATGTCGCACCCCACGGGTCCTTTAGTCTGTAATTTGAGTATTAGAAACATCTATTTCGGTCCTTTAAAGGAGCCAAGAGTAGTAAAGAGTACGAACTTCAATCCTATAGAAAGAGGAGAAATCATGCTCAGCTTACCTGCTTTCAACAAAGTTATTGGTTGGCATCTCCTCAAAACTGCGACCAAATTGGAGACTATTTCAGAATGCATAATGAGCTAGTATTGTAAAAGGGCAAAGTCATGTAACATAAGCAACATATTTAGTATGAATCAACCAAATTACATAAAGTACCAACATACCCCATTTCCAAAAAGATCTCCCTGAATTGAGCCCTAACCTGGAAAACAAATGTTTGGAAGCATATTGTTAACAACTCGCAAAAAGCATAAGAACACCACTGCCATGCTACAACCCAAGTAATTTCAGCTGCAGAAAGAGTAACAAAGTTGCAGCCATGGAAGAACATCAAATTATCAAAAAAACTTTGGAATTTTGAGATGTTACCACTTTACATGATCTGCCACGTGTAACTATCCTGTAGATAAGAAGACCATCTTATCCTTATTCATGTTTGTGTGTGTGTAGCCAAAAGATGTCATGCTCCTGAACATTGTTTTAAAATGCGGCCCCGCATTGCCGCATATGTGCCGCATCCCACAGCATATGCACCCACATAGTGCATGGCGCATATGTGCCGCATAGCTCGTGGGCTAAAATAGTGCACACGATCATGGGTATTTTTGTCCTTCCCCCCCTGAAAGGGGGGGGAAAGGGTTTTGGGCGTATTACCCCCCAAACACAAAAAATGTGTCTGTTTTTGGATCAAATGAATAGGGAAATAAATTGGCAGAAATTGTTTTTGAAAAAAAATTGTCGATTTGCTCTAGGTGTTGATGGGGTTGTCAATTGGGATTAGCTTGGGCATTATTTTGAAGAAGTTTGATAATATGATGTCTTTTGGGTTCTAATGTCTTCTATAAAGTTAGTTTCAAGTTTCTAGTTTCTAGTTTCTATTTCTAATTTCTTCTATTAGTGGAGACAGAGTCTCCGACAACTGATAATATTAGAGTTAATGAATAAATTATATACCTACAATCGCATAAATCACCTTTTTTCAATGCATTAACCTATTTTTTGAAAAACATTTGAAATTTTTTTATATTTATTGACCATATCGGGGTGATGCACCCGCATCTACACCGCATAGGCTCCCCCAACCACATTAGGACCGCATCCCGCATTTTAAAACACTACTCTTAAAGGAGCGTATTGTCCATTTACTCCCTCGGGTAAAAATTCAATCTAGACGTATCTTTAGGGCCTCAAATTTTGTGGATGTAACATCTTCAACTTGTAAACTAAAATCAATTAAAATAGTCCCCATATCACTCAATATGGGCTAGAAAAAATAATGCTGCTGAATAAAGACCATCCAAATTTTTGGAAGGTGAGAATTAATAGTTGAGAACTCAAAATCCTTCTTTTTTTTTTGGGAAAATAATCATCTAGTGATTCTTAGGCAGATCCCAAAATTTCATATTGAAAAAAAAGCTCTCATATAGGTGTATGTATGTACCTCTATATGCATATATGTATATATACGAAAAGCCATAATGTCTTATAGGAAAAAAAAGATTGTATAAGCCAACAAGTTTAAACTGTAGAATAAGCCAATCGAAAAGAACCCAAATTTTGCAAGAATAAAAAGATTTATTAGGTTTTAAAAGTGGAAGAACACATAGCTTATCATCGTTGCTGAGATTTCAGAAATTTTCTCATTTAAAGCAAATATGTCATTAAGCTTTTTTACAATATTTTCTGGTATTATCCCTAATTATAGTGAAATTAATTTATAGATTCACAAATCTCTTCTACAATATGTTTTTCATAGTAATAATAGAAGTAGAGATGAAGAAGTAGTTAAGATTGACAACCCAAAAATACAATACCTATTGAATGAGCGTAGTTGGGATGATGATGTTGAGATGAATGAGTAGCAAGACAAGGGATAGAATTTGAAATGAATACATTCAGGAGAATTTAGGTATAGCACCAATAGGCGATAAGATGAGAGAAAGTAGACTTAAGTGGGCTGGCCATATGTGGCACAGACCTAGTTAACACTTGTTAGGAAGTGCGAGTTAGTTCAAATTGAAGGCTCAAAGAGGGCAAAGGGTTGGCTTAAAAAGGCATGGTTGGAAGTAGTGAGAAAATATATAGGAACTTTTGGCCTCATTGAGGGTATGACCCTCAATAGAGTAGAATGGCGGACCAGGATTTGTGTAGCCGATCCCAATTAGTTGGGAAAAGGCTTTGACGATGATGATGATGATGAAAATAATTTCCATAGTATCTAAGGACCAAGCATGTGTAGAAGAATACCAAGAATACCAACAACTGCATTTTAAGAATAAAAGCCAGTACATAATACCAAAACACTTAAACATTAGAAAATTACTATTACAAAATCATCATGATAAGGATTCATGATAAGATGTGGCAAAGTTTTATGCACTTAACACAACCCACCTCCTTTACCTGGGCGTAGGACGGGTAAGGGAAAGTTTAAGGTCCTCACCCTTATCAGGCCAAAAATTACTATTACAAAATACAAATACAAATATCATTCACTAAATATCTAAAGGAAACATCACCTTTTAAGTTGGAAATTGAGCTATAAATATCTAATGTTATATGTCAAGACCAATGGTGTCAAGATTAAATCACTTAAATGAAAAATGCTATGGTTCAATTAATGAGCCTAAAATGACAAACTGTAAGTTTTAAGTGATATTTGTAGGTCAAAATATGTCAATCTCTTAAGAAGCTCTAGAAAGAAACCTCATCAAGAACATCTAAGTGACTGAAGACCAAGCAATCAACTATGGAACAAAGAAAGTGGAGAATTGTTTAAGTCATGCCTTCAGCAGAGGATGAAGATGGCCACCTTCCGTGGGTTGGCCTAGAGCACTGAAGTTGTAATCTTTGAACTCCAGATCCTTCCATTCCCCCCTGAAAAGCAAACGTAATGAGATTCAATGACATACATGAACAGTAGCTAAGACCATAGCAAACGATAATATGAAATAAACCAAGCACATAACATGGGATCAAACCTCTGTAATTGCTCACGAGTTAGATCAGTAGCTGCCTTAGTCCTCTTCAGGGCATAATTGGGACCTTTTCTCAATGAGTAGCCCTTCCATGTTCTACTTGTAACAAAAAGCATAACAGCATTACTTAAGGGATTTTACCTTGCATGGAAATACCTAAAAGACAAATGTAAGTTTCTGAAGCTATCTAACAGTAGACCAAACTTATCAATTCAGTTGTAATCATTCACATGACAGCTAGTTTATTGGGATGGGCATTACTGCAAAGCGATTAACTTCCTTCTCTTCAAAGAATCAATCTCTTCCAGTTGCAATGCCTGCATTACCACCAAATGCATCAAGAATATGCCAAAGCACAAGATGCCAAAATGCACGGATGATGTGCAGTTCCTCTACTTCTATCAAAGGGTAAGGAACATGGTATATAACAAGGTTTGAAAGTACATCTTTTTGAAATTTGGAGCCAAAATTCACCCAAAGCATAAAATAAAACATCATGACAAATAAGGTTTTTCCATATAATAAAGTCTCTTGCATTAAAGTATCCTGCATCAAAGACCAGACATGGTTACTTTGATCCCTCAGTGTGCTTCATTTGAAATATTTCTATTGTAAGATCATGGTATCTTGCCCCTGTTCTCATGAAATTCAGAATAAGTCATCAATTTGTTGGTTTAATTCTATGCAGAAACACAAGCACCAAACCTATCTAAAGGGTAAAGTCTAAGGCCCTGTCAGGATGCACGTATAAGCCGCCAAGGGGTTGGACATATACATGTGGCCCTTTAGTAAGGCACTTAGTCCCGCACGAAGAGAAACGTTGTTCTAAGAAATTTGTGAGAAGGCCTCCTTATCAATGATAGAGGGATTTTCGAAAAATCCATTCTGCATTCAACATTGACTGCTGTCCATAGCCCATATCAATTGGCGCAAACAACCCCCAGATGAATTCCTTATAGTGCTTTTAAGACCATTAGATAACTGAAAATGACATGAATTCCCTAGTAAAACTCATTATAAAGATAAGAGAAGCAAACGAGAAACCGATAAGACAAAGAATCAAAAGAAATTGCAAAAATAATTTACTTTGGCACACTCTCAAATCTCAGTTCATTGAAGTTGATAAGAGAGAAATTAGACTCTAATAACTATCGGGAAAAAAAAATGTGACCTAATCGTAAATTTGGCTGGATATGTCTTCCTATAATTTTATTGATCTACATCTTGCATCCTCTTGTGATTATTATGACCATCCACAAGCATCTGAGTCACATGCTCTTCAGTTTGTGACTCAAGATATAAGTTTGGTTTGCATTCACATCTTTTACACATTAGCTCTAATGTCACCATAATGTCATCCGTTTTTTATTCTTGGGATTACCCTCCAATTAACCTTTCGCCTTGTTTCTCAATATCAATTAAGACCTCAGACTCTGAGGCCCCCATCTGCATTCATTTAGTAATTTATTTTGATTTGAAGTCATACTTAAACCTGCCTTATATGGAGCTGGCCCCAATTGAGTCAAACTCCGTATTTATACCCACTTACAGCATTGCAATTGAATTCAAGTCATGTATAAGTAACTTTTATAATTTTTCTACGATCTTTTCTGTTATAAGGAAACCTTTTTTTTGTCCCTCACTCTCTCTTTTTCCTTTTCTGAATCAGAAATTCGAGGAGAAAGATTCACCCAAGCAACACCTTTCCATTAGAATAGGGATCAACTACAAATCAACTATATTTAAATTTTTGTAAAAGGGCACGCCAACAAAACATTAAATATGGTGGGGCAACAAACACAAAGTCGAATCCTACATGTAAATGGAAGCAGTTACTAACTATTACAAATTATCCTAAAAATCAGCTTAATATATACAGCAGAAAACAGTCCCTTGAACTTGGCGCCTTGTTGACTAATAATGCTAGACTTCTTTGAAGTAAATTAAAACCATGACTGGTGGTTGTGTCGCCAGAAATTAACCAGTGACCAGATGATGCACAGCTGCAATTTACAGACCACCAATGCAACCTCCCAAACTTCATTAAAGTGGCATGTCATCAAGCATGAATGTAAAGGCCCATTTCCTATAGTATAACCTATAAATCGATATACAATGTAACAGCACATCCACAAGCGCAATTGATAGAAGAAATTTGGAAGATTAAAACCAGAATTCCGGCACTCGACCGAGTCCACTCCGATGCAGCTGAGTTACTCGGCCTCACACCATGCACAAGGCGAGTTTCTCCCAAGTTTGCTGCGAACCCATGTATGTATTACTTACATACATTAATATGGCTATTTGGACTCAATAATGTTCAAATTGCTTCTTGGGTAGCATGGCATGGTTACTTGCCATCATGTTGAGGGTTTGAGTCCCCTCACAAACACAGTCTTGTTTTTAAAAATGTAGCCCTTTTTAAAGGAGTTAAAAAAACAGTGTTAGAAAAAGAGCGTTCTTGAGGATCAAACCTGAGACCTCTATGGTAAAGAGGCATAGCAAGGGCGGCACCGTTACCTGACACGTCATTGTGGCGTTTGATGCAAAAATTGGGTGGTTATATAATATTTTTTGTATTTTTTGTCTTTATTTGTGTTTTTTTTTTTCAACGTGGGCTGGACTTAAGGGAGTTACTCGGACTCACCCGAGTAACTCGCCTTGGCCAAGGGCCGAGTACCTTGGCTGAGCCATTTTTCTGTACACTGGTTAAAACTTAAGGGAACATTTAATTCGATTTAAAGGAATTCTTATGTACTTAAAATGTCATGGTTCTACAAAAGGTCTATCTGAAACAAAACTAATCATGAAATCATATTAATGAGAGAATGAGATAGAATGAAATTATCAACTACTGACCTCTCCCATCTGTACTTGCAGAAGTAACTCTTTTACCCGATCCTCAACATGTTGAACCTGCAATTAAGGATCAAGAAGAAAGCTATAAAGATGTAGAGATACGGCCTAATTAACAGAAGAAACTACATATTACTCACTAAAACTAGAAGATAACTTTAATGTCTACTATATCCAAATTGCAAGATAGGTCCAAACTTAAGATGGCATTTCTGGTTAGATTTGGAGTTATGGAATGCCATAGCCACAAAAACATTTATTTTAATAATAATAATAATATGATTAAATTGGATATTTTATTACCTTTCTAGACACTAGGAGCTTCCCAACCTCCACCCATTTGTTTTTCACGGCTTGAGAAAGACCTATTTTGTAAACAGAGGGATCTATCTTCCGCTGCATAAAAGGGGCCAATTATCAGTCAAAAGCATGAAGGCACGAGTGCCTACCAACTAAATTTGGAGAAATCTACACATTACTGTTGTTGCTTGGTTAGCAATTCACATGGAATGTTAAATAACAATAAAGTTGTAAGAATCACAATTCAAACAAGTGTTGAACATTCCAAAATCACTTTAGTTCTCTAATGAGAATCGCATTAAACCTCTCAGAAATCATTGCCCTAAAAGACTTTTATCTTTATGTAACATGTAAAATTCAAGAAATAGATCTTGTCATTTCATCAATAGTTTCCCATGCTTAAAAGGCAAGTTTTGGGAATTCAGTTCAAGTAAATTTCGAAACCAAAAAGAATTTGGAAATAATGGAAAACTGCCTAAATAGGAATGGATGTCCCCTTCATTACAGAAATCTAGGTCAGGATTCTAGAACATGGTTTTTAACATAGGCAGGAAAAGAAAAACCGAAAGTTTTTTCCAATTTTTTTATTTTTGGGCTGAAAGAAGCTGATTTAGAAAAATAGCAAAAACAAAATGTTGGCAGAAATTCTCACAAAAAAAAAAAAGCAGAATTCCAACCAAATTTCATAATTAACTAGATTTTTCCAAGCAAGAATTCATAACTAAATCTTGAAACTATCTTCAGTAAAAAAGTTAAAAACCGAAGTTCAAAAACTCAGCATGTATAATCCAAGTCAAGTCAAGTTCAGATACAAATGCTAATAATCTATTTTAGACAAAGTACTCCACATAATATTCAGTACATGGATTTACGTCATTGTATCACAGTTCAGCACCAAATTTCAGCTGAAAATTAGCTAATATCAAGAGAAATGGAAAATAACTACTAATCACAAAGCTGAAACAAATAAATAACAAAGCATTCATCACCTGTAATTCTTCCCTAGAGATACCCTCAGGGGGAATCGCAAAGAAAAACTGAACTTCGGGGGAGCCCGCCACTGTGTATGATTTGCCCTCATCTGTGAGAACCCACTTCTCTCTCTTGATATCCTGTTCAATTTCAGTGAAAACAAAGGAAAGTAAAAACTTAGGTTCAGCTTTAACACTCTAGATTAACAGCATAAATGGAGTTCAATGAAAAAGAAGAACCCCATAATCATGCGTAATTGTGTATCAACGCTGGGAACAGAAAAAGAGACAAGAATAACATCTTTACTAAATCAAAAGGCACATATCAACCTAGAGTTCAAATTTCCCACTCAAAATTTTCAGAAAAAATGAAATTAAGGAAAAGGAAAAAATAACCGGTAATCAAGTTTAATTGTGCACGAAATACCTTGAAACCAGAGAGAGAAATTAGACGAGACAGAGATATCGATGGGAAATCCACGGGAAAGAGAAGAAACAACTGAACAAAAAGAGAGAGAGAAACAAGAAGGAAGTAAGAGAAGGGAAGATGGGACCTCTGCATCGACAAGCTTGAAACCATGAAGGCTCTTGATGACATTGACAAGGAGGTTGTGATCGACGCCAAGAGTCTCCGCAAAACGACCAGAGTCTGGTATCTCCTCGTTGTACTGGAGAAACCCTAGAATTGCATTTTCTGCCATTATCTCTTTCTCTCAAAGTTTCTCTCTCGAAAACTCTTTCACACCCCCTCTTCCTGCTCCTGCTCCAGCTGCATCGGCTTGGTCAGGGCCAATCAAAGTTCTCTTTTTGGCGAAGTTCTCTTTTCGGCGAGCCTCTGTACGGGTTTGTCAAAGAGAAAGTTACGTGGTAGTTTGGTTTCTTACTTCTTTATACACGTGGCTTTACACTTTTTTTTTTTTTTCTTATGTAAAATGTTCTTTAAAAAATTATAAAAATTCCTCAAAATATACTTTTTATGCAATTTACGCTCAACTAACTTCCTCTTACAACTTTTTTCAAAAAATAAATTTTTTATGCAAATACCCTCTTAAAAAAAAGTTCATTTTTCTAGATGAAAATGCTTTTCCGTAGCACACTGTTGGAGCGCACTTAAACAGTGTCGGAGCCCTGTGACTCAGAATGCTCCACTACCGAAACGCACATACACAATGCCTGAGCGTTGTGTTACGTTGCCGAAATGCACTGACGCAATGCCGAAACGCACAGTACCGAAGTCCTATGACTTGGAATGCTCCACTGCCGGAGCGCACTTACGTTGTGCCGAAGCGTTATGTTACATTATCAAAGCGCACTTACGTATTGCTAGAGCACAGTGTTACACTGCCAGACCGCTCTTACACAATGTCGGAGCCCCTGTGACAAGGCTCCGGTACTGTTTAAGGGTACTCTGGCAACATGCTACGCAAAGGATATTTTCGTCTAGAAAAATGAACTTTTTCCCTTGGGGGTATTTGCATAAAAAGTTTGTTTTTTTTAAAAAAAGTTAAGAGCAAAAGCTAGCTGAGAGGCAAGTTACATAAAAAGTAGATTTTTGGGGGTTTTTTATAATTTTCCCTTCTTTTTTTTTTTTGACAAATGTCATGAACTTTTATTAGAGCAATGCTACAAGATTATGAGATCACAAAGATTGGATCAAATAGTTAGAAACTTGCAAAAAGGGAAAAGAAACACCAAGTTTAGCAAGCCCAGCAGCAACATCATTGGCTTCGTACCTGGTGTGGCCGAAGCTTATCCTCAAATTAGGCCAGACACTTAGGTATTGAATTTTTAATCAAATAGTAAATATAGATCAAGGTATCATTTGCTCTTTTCTACACCATTTGATAATATTCAAGGAATCCCCTTCAATTATAATATCACCAATGAAACCCCAATCGATGATAATATGAATGCCTTGAAGGAGAGCATCCAATTCAACATGATTAGCTGTTGTAGACCTACCAGGACCCGATAAGAAAAAAGAACCGATCCAAAATTGTTGCGAAGAAGCCCACCAACACCTGCAGGCCTTGGATTTCCAAATGAGCTGCCATCAGAATTAAGTTTGAGGCAAGCTTCTAGAGGTACAATCCAAGTATAAAGGGATGGCTAGAGTGAGAAGATGAATGAGCCAGAAATTTCAGATTGATATAAATATCAGTCCGAATAGCATCACATCCTTCAGAGGTGGAGGAAACCCAATTCCAAAAGTGGAAGAAAACCAATTCCAAAGAGATTGTAAAATGAGATCTTTTACCCTTTCAATACTCTAAGACACCCCATCAAAGGTTCTCCTGTTACGTTCAAACCAAATCTGCCATAAGATTGCACTTCTGAAAATTTTCCAAATGACCACTCATTTTTTGGCAATCTAATGGCAGAAAGATGGTTAATAATATTGATGAGATTCAAATGTATCATAAGGAAAAAAACCCAATAAAGAGAAGACTTAGAGCTACAATTAGAAGCAAAATGACAGTGAAAGAAAAGATGAGAAAAAATTCTTCATCATTTTTTCACATCAGGTAAATATTTTGAAGAATTTTACTCCTCTTTTGCAGATTGTCTAATGTTAAACATTTCTTTTGACATGCAACCCATATGAAGGCTTGGATTTAACTGGAACTAGTCATTTCCCAATAGAACCCAAAGAGGTATCAACATTTCGGACCCGATCCATAAAAATGAGCCTATACACTGATTTGACATGAAAAGTCTGTCAGTTTCTTATTCCCATATGACTAAGTCCTCGACATTAGAAGAGATGTAAACTTGTTCAAGCTGTTGGAAGAGATTATGAAACTGCGAAATAACCATGTCCGGTAGCCTATTGTAGCGGCATCCGATGTTCCAAACCATACAATTAAAGGGGAAAAGATAAATCAACTCTGAAAGTTTTGCATCTGGTTGAGCAACTCTAGCAAAGAGGTCGAGATAAGTAGAAGAGAGAGATGCATCACCAAGTCATTTGTTGAACCAAAAGATAGTGTTATCATAATTGCCAATAAGCAATCTGATGTTGCTGAAAATAGTATTTATGCAGCTATAAATATCCTTCAAAATCTGTGAGGTAAATATGACCCCTCTACCTTTTTTAATTGAGTAGGTGAGATGATCGAAACCATATTTAGCAATTAGCACATCCTTCCAGAGATGAGAAGAGTCTTGAAAGATTTTCTACTACCATTTGGATAGAAGCGTCAAGTTTACAATTAAGCTTTCTGATACCCAAACCCCCTAGCTTTTATGGCATACAAACCTGGTCCCAGTTCACCAAATGAAACTTGGTGTGGTTATCCTCCATATTATCTCAAATGAAGTTTCGCATATATTTTTAATAAGCTCAATTACTTCACTAGGTATTTATAGGACTGACATCAAATAAATAGGAAGATGTGCACAAGTGGATTTAACCAAAGTGATACGTCCACTAAAAGATAAAGTCTTGGTCTTCTATAGGTCTAATTAACTTAATGCCTGTAAATAAGTGGGTCCCAGGCTGCACGAGTGAGCTTACGATCAGATATAGAAACCCCGAAATATTTAAGAGGAAACTTATCAACTTTACAATCCAAAATTGAAGCAAGAGAACCTAAAAGGTTGTTAGAGGAAGAGATACCCACAATTGAAGTCTTATGGAAATTTACTTTGAGGCCCAATGCTAGCTGGCAACATAAGAAGCATGTGCTCAGATTATACATTTACTATTCACTAGCATCACAGAAAGTCATGGTGTAATCTACATATTGCAATATGAAATAATAGGCCCAGATGATGAAACTTGAAAACCTGTAAGAAGACCTGCATTTACAACATTTGTAAACATCAGGCTAAAACCTTATGCTACGAAGATAAAAATAAAATGAGATAGAGGGTCTCCTTGTCTAATGCCCCAAGAAGCATGAAAGAACCCCTTAGGAGATCCGTTAATAAGAATTGAGAAATGAGCCGAAAAATGAACCCTATAATCCAAGAAATCCATCTGACATAGAAACCCATTATTCTCATAATCTCACTGAGCACTTGCCATTCAACTCTGTCAAAGGCCTTCCCCATATCCAATTTAATAACAACTCTCGGCTGCTTAGAAAGATTTCTAGAGTGAATGTATTCTTGGAGAATAAGAATATTATATGTGATCATGCGGTCTCTAATGAAGGCTGATTATTTATCAGATATCACAAAAGGGAAAACTAACTTAAGTATCTCTGCTAAAACTTTTGCAATAATTTTATAAATACCAGACAAGAGACTAATTAACCTAATATCTTTAATATCAGCAATGATTTATATTTTTGAATTAAATAAATATAAATAGAGTTAATGCCCTTGAGAACACTCCCAGTGAACATAAATTTCTTAACCAATAAATAAACATCATCGTGTAGCAGATCCCAAAAATGCTGAAAGAAGATAAGACGGAAACCATCAGGACCAGGGACTTTATCCTAGGAAGAGCAAAAACTACCAGTCTAATCTGTAGTAACATCCCTTTCCATATCAGAAACCAAGAAAGATGGTAGAGATTTAAAAGGAACACCATTTAAAATAAACTCCAATGTTAACATCACTAAAAAAACAAACTCAAAAGGTTGAACAATGGCCTCATCACGAGCTGAAATGTTGCCTTCCGATACACTTGGTAGAGAAATAATAGAAATATCAGTTTACCTTCTACGCTCATTTGCGATAGCATGAAAAAATTTGGCATTTCTATCACCCTCCATAAGTCATTTAACTATTGATCTCTGTTTCCAATAAATCTCATCCATCCTAAAGAGATCATGTAGTTTATTAAGCAGATAATTTTTATTAACTCATCTCATCAAATAAAAATTGGTTTTCCTAAATAGAATTTTCAATCATCCCTAAGTCCATCAAAGTAAAATCAATATTGCCTTTAAGTTGATACTGGTTTTGTTTTTTTCCAATAGATGAGTTTATGCTTTAGGCAGATTACCTTCTTATGAAGATCAAAGCCAAAACTGCTCAAAACATAACAACTACCCAAGTATGATTGATGATATGCACAACTTTAGGCTCATTCAGCCAGTGAATATCAAAATGAAAAGGTCGAGGCCTAGATAAGTCATCCTCAGTATGAAGACAGATAGGGAGGTGATCAGAGGAAAGTTTGGTAAGAGCATTAACCTTGACCAAATGGAATATACTTGCCCAAACCTTTGAGACAATAAAGCGGTAAATCTTTGACAAAATCATATTAGAGGAATAATTATTGGACCACGTAAAGTGATCTCCAATAGTAGGAAGATCTAATAAATCATTCTCCATAATGAAGTCATTAAATAGATGCCTATGCGAATTAAATCGGGACAAAGTAGAAATTTCATCTGGATGGTGAATAAGGTTAAAATCCCCTCCAATGCAAATAGGAAATCCCGAAGAGGAAACAAAATATTTCAAATCATCCAAAAAGGCACATTTAAGGGTAGCAGTATTGGGCCCATACAAATTAATAAGCACCCCTGACACGACCGTCAAAAGCAATTGCCAATAACCTATCATATTTAAAAGAATCCAAGCAAAGCAAAGGTGTTGGGTCCCAAAAAACCCACAAACCTCCAAAAAATCCAATGGCATCTACACCCTCAAAGCACACAGAACCATTACCCCACAAAGTCTTGACATCTAAAAGAGAAGGCGAAGCACACTTAGTTCCTTGCATAATAAAAGCAAAAGGTTTAATTTTACAAATCAAGAAATTGATCTCTTTCTTACGTCGATCATCATCGAGACCACGTACATTCCAACTGATAATCTTCATGGGCGAGATGAAGGTCGCTACCATCTTCATAGGGACGAAAAGAGATGGACGAGCAAA